TATAGAAAAAAAAAAGTATTAGAAGTATAGCTAAAAAAAAAAGGTTTATATTTATTAGGCCTTAGAGGGCACTTAGCGCTGGCTAGTAGTAAGCGTATAAGTAGCTAGCAGTTAGGAATCGAGATTGGTTTTTAATTTACACTTTTTTATAGTACTATTAGTAAAGCTAGCTGCCCGGCTTTATAGTATTACTATTAATAAAGTTATATTAAAAGGAAAAAGGCTCTAGCTATAAGCTATATTAGGGCTTAAGGTTAGAATCGAATTAAGTTATATTAATATTAACAAAAGATAAATATAAGAAAAAAAAGGTTCCTATTATAACCCCTAATATAAACCACCTAAATACTAAGGCACTTAAAGAAATAAAGAAGTAGATTAAACTAATAATATAAAAATAAACTATAGAGCTTTAAGAAATAAAGGCTAGTTAAATAGGGATCCTAAATTCCCTATAGACTGCTAGTAAATAGAAATAATCTAGGGACAGCACCTAATAGGGAGGTTACGTGCAGGATTATTACTAAATTATAGCGATTTAGGAATAAGTATAGGATTATTACTAAATTATAGCAATTTAGGAATAAGTATAGGTTTTTTAGGACGGAGCTTTTATATATAAGGACGCTTCTTTACCTATATAGAAACCTTATATTTAACTTAAGACTTTAATACTACCTATTAGAAGTAATAACCCCGTTTTATACCTAAAATTAATCTTACCTTACCTTTTAAAGACTATTACACCCCGATAATAACTTAACCTATACCCTGCCTTAGTATATAATACTTAGAAGGTATAGAAAAAATAACTTATTATAGTTCCTAGGTTTAATACTATAATAAACCTAAGGTTAAAGCAATATTAACCTATTCTGCGGGGCCCTAATTATATAACTATCGGGTATATAGTATAGCTTAATTATAAATAAGGCCTTAATTATATAACTATCGGGCACGTAATATAGCTTAATTATAAGCGAACGTGTAGCTATAACACTAGTTATTAGTAATATACTCTACCCTAAAAAAACTATAGTTCTAGATCTGCTTTTTATATACCTTTATAACTAGTATAAAAATGCCTATATTAAGTAGCTAGAGGATATAGATAGTATAAAGCAGTAGATAGAAAGGAATAATTTTAGAATTTATATAAGCCTAGATAAAATTAAGTAATATATAAGAATTATAGCTATTTAGGATTAGAAGCCTGTATTCTCCTATATTTTAAGGCTTAGTATAGCTGTTAAAGCGTTCTAGCTAGTATAGGGCAATTTTCCGGTCGGTTTAGCTAGTAGAACTAATATAGATAACTATATAGGGGTTAATAGAGTTTTTAATCCAGGAGTATTATATCTACTTCCCTTAGAAAATAATAAATAGTAGAACTAAGTATTTACTTATACTAATTACTGTAATAGTTAATACCTAGTCTTAATCTCTAGGTTAAATAGACTATACCTTCTCCTTTTAAACTAGTAGAAAACCTTTATAGCTATTTTCTACTCCCTTTATAAAGTCCTTTTTATCTATATTATATTAATCCTTATATAAAATCCTATACCTTATTATAGTTTCTTAATATAGAGAAAACTATTTCTCCAGCATCGAAAGCAATATATATTAATAATAATGCGATTCTTATTTAAAGATAAATTGCGAAGAAGCTCGTCTAGTAGTTTAAAGGCATATCGGCCCTAGGTAATATACAGTAGGCGACGGGCATCTTTCTTAAAGATAGTATAGCTCGCAAAGCTTATTACGCATAAAGGGAGAAAGACTGTTATAAGAGATTAAGGAGGTTTAAATAGGTGAGATTACCTACTCTCGCTCGATGAATTAGCCTTTAAGATACTTAATTAGTATCAGCGCCTGCAATTCTTTTTATAAGCTAAATATTAGCATTTTATACGCAAACAATTAATCTTACAAATCTATAGGGAAATATCGACTTTCCTTCTAAAGTAGGGAATAATTAACTTAAGTTAATAGATTAATTAATTTGATTTAGTTTAACTAAATCAATTAATTAATCTAAAGAGGTGGATTTTATTAATTAAATTAACTTTAAGGCATTAAATTAATTGATTTAATTAGTTTAATTAATTCCTATTTACGGAGCGTAGATAGAGTATTTTATAGAGAGCCCACCTAGCAGAAGTGCTTACTAAGCAGTCTTCTAACCCTGATTTTTATCCTAACTTATATTAACGCGTTTAATACTATACTACCTCTATATAATATTGCACCTAGCAATAAATTAGAACCTTTAGAACGTACAGCAGGAAGTTATTGCACGCGTAAATCGAAAGAAACCTTCCTATAAGGTTAATTCTATGCGCGCCGAAGTTAATATAAATAAATATGTTAAAACACCTGCTATAAACGATAATAACGTTAATAACAACAACCTATATAAGAACCTTAATTAGCTATAGGTACTATATCTATAGAAAAGGCCTTATAAAACCTTATAACCGTTAAAAATAAGCTAGATTTACGCGTATAGTTGGCCTGTTTACTATTAAAAGCAGCGCTAGAAGTTCTAGCTCTATAAGTACTGCTATATATATAGAATACCTAGCGGCAAGTTTAATATTAAGAAGGCTACTTTATTAGCTATAGCTTACCTAGGGCGGTAATAGCATAGCTATAGAGTTAATAAAGATAGCTAGATTAACTTTTCTACTCTAAACTAAACGTTAGTATTAGCAATAATATAGTTCCAGGGCATTAATATTCTATAGGATATAGCTAATAAGCTAGCGGATAGCTTTAATCGGGCGAAGTTTCTACGCGCTGTTTAATACTAGGTTGCTAATAATAATTAGGCTTTGCGCATTATTAAGAAGCCTGCCTTCCGCAGTATAATTACTGCTGCTAGACCTATCGCCGAATTAAGCCTATAGAAGACCTATTATACACTCTAAGAATCTATTATAGCTAAGTATAATTCCTATATACCCGCCGTAATTAAACACCTCTAGCAGGCGACTAGCCTTATCTATATATTATTTAATAATTAGACTTTAGTTAGTAATAAGCGTGCGCTTACTAGGATATATATATATTATCTAAATAAGAATAGCCGGCTAGAAGACTACTTATTAGGCCTGCCTGTTTTTCTAGGCCAGTACTTAGGCAAAAATATTGCAGAGATAGTTAGCTTAATATTATAATTGTTTAAAATTAATACTAAGCGCCTTAGCTACTTTATACTTAATAATACTATAAATAATAATACTGCTTTAATAGCAATAGCTAACAAGTTTAAGTTTAGCATCTCCTAGCGTTAGTTACGCTGTACCTGCTATATTCTTAACTTAGCTACCTAAGTAATTATATAGGGTAAGGATAAAAAGGTATTTAAAAGTATAGATATAAATATACAAGTAAAATTACATCTCTAATCTTATTACTATTCTATATTGCGCTAATAGTAATATAGGAAAAAGAACTGCTAATAGTAGAGTAGAGGAAAGCCGGGCCTATTAGGGTGCTATTTAATATTATATTATCTATTAGCGCCTTTCTATAAGCCCGAAAGCTGTTTATTAAGCTGCAGGCAGAGAACTTAAAGCGCTGTAATAAATTTTATAAACTAAAGGAGCTTATTAAGCCTATTAGAACTTAGTAGAACTTTTACTATAATTACTTTAAGCGCGCCTGTAAGCTTTAGGGCCCTTTTAATATATATATATATATAAAGCTTAAGAAATATAATATTAAAGCAGTATCTCGGCGCAAGAATATAAAGAAGGAGAAACTGTGGTGCTTTATTAAGGAGTAAGGGCTAAACGCAGGTAATTAGGTAATAATTATAGAGTATAAGCAGCTGCTTAAGCTATTTAAGAATATAATAATATAGCTATAGGGCAGAGGTTTAGCTGGTAGCTATAGAGCTATTTAGGAAGTTCTTATTATATTTAAATAGCTACTCTCGGCTCTTAAGGAGCAGAAGAAGAGGCTTAAGGCTATTAACTATAAAAATCTAAATATACCTAAAGATTACTTAGTTATTAATATTAATACTGCCTATAAAAAGCTCGCGGATTACTATAGGAAGATAGAAGACACCCCTATTTATTTTACAGCTATAATACTTTATTTAGTATATAAACACGCGCTTAAGGGGCTATAAAAGGTGCTAAAGGATTATAATATAAAGCGCAATAGGCTATATCTATATAAAAACTGGCTTTTAAATAGCTATAGCTCCTTCCGGCTGCTATAGCAGGTATATAAGGATAAGGTGGCTGCAAAGGCTGCTGGCGCAGCATCTTCTACCTTATTTCCTAATATAAGGCCTGCAAAATGCTGTTAAATAAGCCCTATAAATAACTAAGCAGACTTCCTTAGGAACTTTATAAAGGAGGGTAAGCAGGAGATAGAGGAAACTATTAATAATAAGTATAAGAGGTGGAAGCGCAAGCTAACTCTAAAATAGGATAACCTACTAGCAAAGGACCCTATTTAGTACTAGGTTATTATAAAAGATTGCTATCCTATTCTAGGCCAGCTAGCCCTTAATATCTACTCTATCCCAGCCTTCTTAGCTAACTATAAGAGAATTTTCAGCAAACTTAGCAATCTCCTGGGCGTACGACGCCTTAATATAAAGCCTAAGTTACTTAGTGCTCTGCAATCTATATGCTCCTGGCGTTGAATTAGCATTAAACCTCCTAAGTAGTGATTAACTTATCAATTAATCTATTAATTAAACCAATCAATTCAACTTAGGGGTCAAAAAGTATTAATCTCATCAACTCAACTTAAGCATCTCAGAAATTAATCAAATCAAATCAAATCAATCACAGCCTGTTCAACGAAGCAATCAATCAACTTGGAGACGTCAAAGTTGATTGATTGATTGATCCCCACTCTGTTTCCTTCTCGACACGGTTCTATCAGGCATCTCTAGTTCGCGACGCTGCCCTCCTTTGTACGAAAACGTCCGCTTCCTGAATACCCGAGTTCGAACCACCGCATATATAAGAATGCCTCGACATCGGTATAGACGATCCCGTCCACCCCCAAAAGTGAAGAAAGAAGAGCGCAACGTAGTTAGCCCCGTATCCACAGCTATCACGAAGCCCAAGGTACCACATGCGGCAACATCAATGCACCGTTTCTCTCAACTGCCAGCGGAGCTTCGTGTAATAGTCTGGGAGAATGCTCTAGAACCGGTGGGGCGACAGGTGGTGACGCTAAGCCGCAACATAGGTGATACCAAAATCACTGTCACTCCGCCGCCCATTGGCATATTCTCCGCACAGTCGGAAGCTCGAGCCCATGCTCGAGCGGAAATGTACCGCCGCGGCTATGTGCTGTACCTTATGACATCCACGTCTTTTTCTCGACCGGTAACGGAGATCTATTTTAACTTCGATCGTGACATCCTCCATGTTCACTCCGATCTTTCCGGAACTCCGCCATCTCCGGGTCAGCACAGAGACAGCATGTATCGCAAGCTGGCCACTATTGCCGCGCTCCTAGATCCTCATCAAATCGGCCAAGTTCATTATCTAGCCGTCTCTTGCTTGCCTGACGCTAATAAGATGAGCCTTCAGGAGGAAACCTCCGCTACCATCGAGCTCCACAAGTTCAAGAAACTCCACTCATTCCGGTTAGTTGTAAACTATGTACCAGAGGACCTTGGCAAGAAATATAAGACTAGGGAAGAAATTGGCAAGATGATGAAGAGTCTGTGGGAAGATATTGCGGGCCACATCGCACGGCATGATAGGACTTGGAACAAACCGTACATTCAGATATGCCTCCAAGAACTTACGTGCGAAGACAGTGATTACTCACCTCTCCCAAAAGGAATCGATAGACCCAGAGCTCATGCTCCCAAAGCCCACTCTTCCGTAGCCTCGACTTCTACTGCCAAGACAAATACCCGGAGCACGCATCGCTCGACATCGGCGGCAACTAAGTCTTCCAAACAGCTAAGAAACAATAGGCAGAAGTGAGACTGAGATGGAGGAGGATGAAATCTTTTTGGAAGGGGACGATGGTCTGAGTCTAGAGCTTAATACGACCCTTGCGGATCTAGACGACGACGTTGAGGAGATGCTCGCAGGCTTCTACAACTCGTCTCAGATGCACTACGATTGAAGACACTTATACTCGAAATAGGAAATAGGGTTGATTATGATGAACTACTACGAAATCTTTGGGCGATTTGGCGCACGCCGGGGCCTCCCGATCGAAAGCGCAGACAATGTAATATTTGAAGCCGTGAATAAGGTTAACGGGATTTGCAAAAAAGAACCGATCGGGATATGCTTGGCTAGATCCCAAGGTCAACAAATTTAATGTCGTTTCTGAACCGTGCACATGGCGATAACGTGACTTGCCCCAATGCGACAGTGATAAGATACCAATCGTCTTTACTGGTATCCTGAAAACTTGCCCATTAAACTTCATTCTTCGGGACGCTCAAATTTAGCACGACTAACTTATCCGAGAGCTTGAACTAGAATCGAGATTTCAACATAGCAAAAGATAGACCAGACAAATTTCACCCAATGATCTCGATACGATGCCATCATCCTTTGCTCCGACGAGACCCTGGAACACATCGCAAATGCTTTCATTGGCAGCGGGCTCACTCGAACTCAATCGAAGTATCTTTGATTGTGCTGACAATTATCCGCTTTGTCCCTTCACAATGGTTTGCGACGTTTCTTACGCTTGCTGAAAATCCTCACACCTCACTTGTTCTCATCATCAGTGGGTCAAGCACGCAGTCAAACATCGTCAATCAATCGCGTCGAGGGGCCCGGGAAGGCGATCGGAATGAGATGAGACAAACCTTGGCAGTCACGTGACGTGCCAATAAGCAAACTCCTCGCATGCCCGTCTTCCCAACCCATGTGTCAGACATGAGTATATTCATTTTCCACTTAGACTGTGCTCCCGTTTCTCAAGGCTTCCACGGAACTGTAGTGCTTCAATCGCAAACCGGCACTATTCGGCCCCCTAAAACCCGGTAAAATCCGGTGATCCTGCTGGAAGAGTCTGACCATCGCGTAGGATTTATAATGCGGGGTGATAGGCGCGGGGGATTCGCTAATGCGGGGAAAGCTTGATAGGAGGTCTATTAAGAGCGATGGTGGGAGACGGACATACTCTGGACCGCCCGGAAGATAGAGAAGCGATGTCAAAGGAATGAAAGTATATCGGACATACTCAGATCCGTTCTCAACCCAAAGTCACACCAAGCATCTCCACATATAACGACCCCTACTCGCCCCCATATAAGATGGCTTCAATCGCATTTCCTTCTCCGGAATCAACCAGATCCCGTTCCCCACAAGTACGATCCCACCACGCCTCTTGAAAGCCCATCATGCCCAACGGCGAACCTATTAAGGTTCCTATTGAGACCTACTCCTTCGAAGGTAAAACGGTTCTCATAACCGGCGCCTCCTCTGGCATTGGCCTCGAAACCGCCGAACTCTTTTATTCCCTCGGCGCCAACATCGCCTTTATCTGCGGCCGAAAAACGCCGCCGACCAAGATTCCGCTCGAGTCTCCGCGTACCTTGCGTATCAACCTCAACCTCTCTGACTGGTCTGCCCTCTCCGCCGCATTTCTCGCTACGTATGAAAAGTTCGGCCGCATCGACATCGTGGTCCCCAATGCCGGCCTCGCTGAGCCGCCGGGACAGTATTTCAACCTTCAGGAAGATGGCGAGGGAGGTTTGAAGCCACTGGATATGATTGCCGTAGAAATCGATATCAAGGGGACTATGTACACCATAGCGCTCGGGATCCACTATCTCAAGAAGAACCAGAACCCCACCGGTGGTAGTATCGTTATCATGTCATCAATGGCTGGCTACGAAGGCGTCTCGGGCATGCCCGGCTACTCCGCCTCCAAACACGCCGCCACCGCCCTTTTGCGCTCTCTCCCGCGAAACGCAGCACCGCTCAATATCGCAGTGAGCTTGGTGGCGCCAAGTATGACATATACGCCTGGTGCGTTTCCAGGGACTTATAAGCCTGGAAAGGCAGCTTTTGAAGAGATGGATGCGAAGATGAAGAAGGTTGGGGTGAATATGAGCTCTGCGTATACGTGTGCGAACGCGGTGGCGTATCTAGTGGAGAAGGGGTTGGATGCGAATGGGGTCAGTTTGCTGGTGGATCGGGACCAAATCACGGACCTGGAGAGTGAGATAGCGGCCTCGAGGCCCGCATGGTTTGTGGATAGGGGTAAGGCTAGGGAGGAGGCGGGGAAGGCGTTTTATGAGTTCACGAAGGCGGAGGCGGAGAAAGCAAAAGCTACTGCATAGAAGGGCGATTTCGGCGATTGGTCGAGGGATCTGTTGCGTTGGTAAGAGTTCGGAGCCTTGGTATAGATTTGAAGAACTCAGTATCTCGAGAATTATCCTTCAGCCTTGGATCTAGCCTCGATTTAGAAGTGTGCAGTCCCTTTTACTAAGCTAGATTTGCTACTTACTTAATCTATACCTGAGTGCAAACATTGGCAGAGAACGCCGCAAGTCATGCGGCGAACGTTGCTCCCAAGTCACGAACGGCATTCTCAATATCAATGTCAGCGAGAGACCCAACCCCTTCGGCTCCACTATTGCTCGCTCGACACCACTGTTAGGAGCACCCCAGCTAGCAGGTATTCGTTACATCAAAAGATAGTGAATTTTCCACTACGTTGATCTTCACATCCAATTTAGAGATTCAAACGCCTATCGAGGTACCCCAAGAAGTCGCAATAAGTGCCCAAACTTATGTCTTGGTACTGCACCTCCGGTAAAATTAGTCCCATCATTGAGTGCGATAACTCGCTTCTCTTTTCAAAACAATCCAACAAGCCTTCGCCAATTCGCTTTGACGTGGTTCACTGCACGTGATACCGTGCCTGCCAAGACGCTATTCTAGGACCGGCGTGCGTTCCTTCCGAGCATCTTTTGGTTTGAGCACACTTCACCTTGGCTTCCTTTCCTCTCTCATCAATTCAATCGCGCCGCCAATTCACCTTTTCAAGCATTGCTGCCATCTCCAAGACATCTCGCTGCACGCAAAACTACCCGCCCCAACTCACGATGAACGAACAACGCATCAAGATGGAAGGCGAGCAATATGATCCCATCACGAATCGGCACAACGATCACTTCCTCAGACTTTCATATCACGGTCCAAGCCCCCCACCCCCCCATACGGTGAACGGGCAGCCCGCGAAGAAGAAAGGCAAGCGAAAGTGGACGGCTGAGGAGAAGTGCAACGGCCGCAAGAACTCGCCGCCGGCGCCCAGATTTGGCGGACTCTCTCGGCTCGCCTGGAAAGAACACCAGCATCAGCGTAGAGAGGAGGAGCTCTCGCGTGTTATGAGCGGTGAAATCGGTAACATCGTTCATTCAAAATTGTCTTTGCCATCATGGTTGACGAGACCCAGCACCGCCTCCCGGTGCAGGTCCCAACTGGGCGAAGAATCGCGAGTCAAAGCTGAGAAAGGACACGAAGGCTACGAAGCGCCGCCATAAGAAGCATAAGAAGAGACTCCGGAATCAGGCAATGGGCATAGATACAGGCGATCACTGGAGCCCGGGCATGGAGTACGATGACTTGAGGTGGCCAGAGAGCGAGTCACCGGATCATGGTGTGATGGGCAAACAGGAGTCTAGCGCGAGCACAGGTATGGGATGGGACATCAAGAAGGAGAACAGGGATCGTGCGGTTATGGTGAAGCCAGAGCCTGGAGTTGGCATCTATGATGGCGGACTGCAAACTTTCTATCCCGTCGACGATGACGTGGAGCAGTATGGCAGCTACTGTCGCCATATGACCAAGCGGGGTCCGAATGGGCTACAGCCTTGTAGCAGTGACAACCGTAGCAGTGACAACCGTACAGGAGACGTTTGCGCCAGCGGTCATAACGAGCCAGGTTGGGAGCATCCACCAAAGACCGATCTAAATTCCATCCACTATGATGCAGAACGAGAGGAAGCGGTTGATGCCTTTTTCGATGCTCTGGAAAAAGGAATCGCTGCCTGGAAATAGATCTTCTGAGGACCAGTGGTTGAAATACAGTGGAAAAACGACAGCAAGGATTATTCTGGCAAGGGTAGCTAAGGCATTGATACAAGTACGGGTAGGCTGTAAAGACCTGGGTTCGAAGGATAGAGTTCATGAACTGTGACAGCATGAGTTTCGTTGGCTTTAACAAGTCATCATACAAGTCGATGATCATCGAGATCGCTATCGAAAGGGCAAGAAAATACCATGAACAGTCTCGACAGTTTCCAAACATGGCATCTTTCTCTCCTAGATTCCTGGTCTTTCGTTCTCACTTCGGATCCTTTCTTGGTCACTCTGTGCACAGTCGTCTTTCCATATACAATACCCTCCTGTGGCCACTCTCATCTCTCTTCCTTCCACTGAACTCTCACATCCAAAACCGGCATCATCGCTCCAGCCTATCTATCTCAAGCTTGCCACCCGATCGCTTCTCATCCTTACAGCCCTGGATAATGTGCTGAAGCATCCATCTCCTGCCTAGCCGCCGCGACGGCTTAACGCACGTGACCTGGAATTTGACACATTCCTGCACCGATAATTGTAGGACTGTCGTTGCTGGTGTTGTCACTATTTTGCCTAGGGGACATTATCATCTCCATGGGCCTTTGGACCGCCCTACGGCCCAGCTGCTCCAGAGCAATCTGCCACAAAGCTCCTTACATGCGACTCCCACTGGAGGTCCGCGACCTGCACATCTCGCGGCTCAACCGGATCCTGCGAATCCCGCTCGGCAGTTGGGGAACCAACAGCGTGCGGCCGGCAGTGTGGCTCACTTGGCTCGAGTAGCTGTGAAGAGCGAGGCGGAGGGTAATGAGGAGCTGGTTGTAAAGAATGAGACGGAGGATCGGAGGGGCGCTTAACAGATGACACCGGACACCCGGGTACGCAAGTGGGAGAGGAGCCTAGGTGTGAGATGTTGGAGTCACTGAGAAGGGCACTAGTAGCGTTTGGAACATGACTCTCAGATGAATAGGTTGGAGAGGCCGTTGACTGGAAAGGAGTGTGTTCAATCTTTTTAGCGGGTTTGAGCACATCTAATGTGTCTTTTCTTACAATTACCAGAACCTGAAATATTTGCCTAGCATAGAAAACCAACAATTAGATGCTTGCTTGATAACATTCCTTTTGGATTTGTCTTGCGCTGGTCGCCTTGCAAAATTTTCCCATGTTGACGTGATTCCTTAGATGGCAAAAGATCAACACAAACAAGAAGTAAACGGGGTAGAGTAGACGAAACCTTTAGAGAAACAGCAAATGTACCAGCGTCGAATCAGCGTTTAAGCACTCGCTTGCTTTTGGTTTCAACGACGTCAACTTTTACCACCTGCTCTTAATCCCATCATATTAGTACAATATTAATCACGTGTTTCAGAATACGGCCATCTCGTTATTCAAGCTCCGTATTTGCTCCCTCAACACCGCTGTAAAGGGTGACTCGGCTATGGACTACCTAGGTAGTTGGCGAGGTAAGAGGCAGCCTGATATCCACTGTTCGAGTTTACATTATTGCACAAGTGACAAACACCCCAAGAGGTAAAGTAGAAAGCATTAGAGGAAAACACGACTTGAGTCAATTGAATCTCACACAAACAGGTGCTGCATGAGACTGAACTCTGGCAGAAGCTCATAGACAAGCTTTTTTCATAGGTCTGGGGCATGAATAAATACAGTCAAATGCAGTAATGGCACAGAGTTTGTCTGCCGACAGCGGTCGGGCGGCATAGGAAAAGAAGCAGTGAATATAAATATGTCTCTCTCACTCTTGTCAAAAAATTTCACCCTGCAGCAAACAAAATATCCTTCCTCACTTCTTTCAACTCTATTCTCGTCTTCACGATGCCGAACAGATCAGTATGTCCAACCTTGCTTATTACCATAGGAAGAGAATAAAGCTAATCTGTCGTAGAATCGCGTGCTCTATCGTCAGCGTGTCGATGACGCATCCTCCATGGCCCCCTCCAACACCACATCGACCGTTCCTCCACCGCCTGTCCAACGCGAGCAACCCAATCTCAAGGAATTGAAGGCACAGCCCACAACGCGCAAACACAGTTACGGAAGGCTCTGCAAGGATACAACCTTCGGAAAGCTGTCTGGACCGAGCGAATCCCGCCCAAACCCAAAGTCATGAACGATAGTAAGAGCTTCTTCGAACCCCACCCTCTAACGTACAGCTAAAAATCAGAACAGCTCAGCTTGCCCCTGCCAACGCGATCCCTCGTCTGAACCCACTCGCTGCCACCTTCAGACCCGAAACCCCCGCGAAGGAGCCCAAGCCTTTACCTCCTCACCGCTGGGTCGACCTCGACGGCGTCCAGAAACAGGTCAACGCCCAAGACGATCTGTATCTCATCGAAACGAACCTCATCCGTATTTTTGCGAGCAATAAAGGCCTCGGCAAACTTGCGGAGTTCCAAGAGCGATTCGCGGGCGAGCAGTTTGATAAGGGAGCGTGGAATGAGCAGGTGCTGGAACGGCTTGAGATGTCATTCTCCCGAGACAAGGAGACGGCGGAGAAAGGTGAAACCGGGGAGACTAGAGGCGTCAAGACAGAGGGCCAGAATCTTGCGGAGACGGAAGAGGAGTTGAAAGAGCTGGCCTAGTGAGGACCTCCGAGGGAGCCGATTCGAGAATGAGAGGTGTGGGGTGAGTGCAAATTCGGGGTGGAATTCGTGTGAAACCCTCCGGAGTATTCCTACGGCGGGAGATGGTTGGGATGGGGATGTAGAAAGTACACACTCTCGGTTTGAACTTGGCACAAGGTTTGGAGGAGCATCCCTACAAGATAAACAAAACCTCCCCATATAGGTCAAAGCAAGTATAGAGAGCCAGGCAGGCATACATATCCAATGACTACATCACACTTTTTGATCCCCTTGCTCCGGTGGGGAGATATTTGATGTGCCTTCTTGATCATTCGTAAGCTAATTTGGAAGCTTTCAAGAGCCAGTCGTATACTGAAACCACCCATGTTCAGGTCATATACATATATACGAGCAAGATGGTCAAGGGGGCCGCCGTCATATGACAGTGTCACGTGACCTGAACTTGGAGACCTGGAGTTGCAAAGCTGCGCGTTTAGTGGTGAATGAAAGAGGCACCAGACGAACATAAATAGGGCTTTTCTGTCCCGAAATCTCTCGTTATTTCTCACTAGAATCCTTCAACCAACCCACCGCACATACACCACCACCTCGATCCTCGAAGTGTCGGCTGCACAATCAGGTCCGTAATCCATCAACTCGCCAAATACATATTCTTATTCAATCTTATTATGGAAACCTGGGAGACTTACTCAAAGCCTATCCTAGCGAAGGAACACATCGATGCCGCGGAAGCGGGTCCTGCGAGTGATACTGAATATGCGGATGCCACAACGCCATCCACGATTCAAAAAGGTAAATATCTCCCGCGCTCAATACACGCGGGCCTCAGAGCATCATTGACATCATCACAGAACCACAAGGCGAGTGCTTCCTCCAATGGATCAAAAATATGGATACTCTCCTCTATGACCTTTCAGTCATCCGAGAACAAGTCAAGGCATACCGTGAGCAGGCCCACGGGACTCCGCTCAAGAATTTCTCCCTCGGCTCGGTCATCGCCAACCTCAAGACTCTCTACGGGCCACAGAATCAAATCAGTCAGGTCCTCGTCGTTGTGGAAACAATTCAAGGTTCCTTTGTTATGATGGAAGCGATGGGCTTCAAGGGATGTGTAGAGGCCGGGTATAACTTAGCCGTAGTTCACGGATGCCTAGCCAGGTACATAGATACGCGGAACATGAGCCACCGCTCACTCCTTGGGGGTCAGAATGAACTCAACACTGCTCTTGTTACTGTAGAGGAGACCGAAACGCTGGTACAGGATATGAAGGATCAGCTGAAGGGAGGTGCGCTGAAAGAGTTATTGGTGCTCCATAAAGACTTGAAGAAGGAGAATGAGCGCAAGGATATGGAGATCGAAACGCTGAAGAAGCAGTTGAGAAAGGCGTTGGACGAGGGAACAGCGGACTCGGACGAAGCCGGCGACATACATACACCGGAAGCTCTCGAAGACTGGGAGGTATGCGACGGCGTAGAGGTCGTCGATGACTGGGAGCCCCTAGGCACCAGCAAGGCGTAAACACGCGGGTGCTCATTAGGCTAGGCTAGGGGAGGAGGTTGTTCGGTGTTGGAGAAAACTTGACATGGGTTCAAGTAGCAGTTTCGTTTGTTTCCTTAGCATACGTTTCGAGGGAGCTAAATTGCGGAGGTTGGCGTTGGACAGGATTTGAGGGCAGATTGTTACCGGTTTGAGGGAGATGACGATGCGTCCTGGTTGCTTGCATTTTTATAATTCATGATCACGAAATTATTAGCAAAGAATAAATCATTGCACACACAGACACTATTCTCGTATCCGCATGTATGGCCAACTTTCCTACAGAACAAGTCTCCAAGACGCCACGTGGGCGTGTATGTGCCTCTACGTGTGAATTGATAGGACTTCCGCGTAGGAATTTCGGGTCGCCCTCCATATTTTAGGGCACTCGTCACGCTCCACTAACACCAATCCACACCATAGCAACACACATCTTTACCCCACAGCCATACATATCAGCTTGTTCTTACTATCATTAACCTTATCTCGTAAGCACACGCTTCACACATTGGATCGCTATAGTGAGCTAATCTTATGCAGATAGCCAAGCAACCTATGTCAATAGCTCCTCTTGCAAACACAATGGACACAATACGCCCACTACTTGCCATGGTCTAGGAGAACGTCCTTGCCCATCTACTTCTGCTTCTCGCGGGCGTCGTCTTTCTCGTACTCCTACCCGGTGAGAAGGATTCCCAGGAGCCAATCCACCCGCGAGCTGTACTAACACCATACAAGGCGTAATCGACCGTGCCAACAACACCGAAGATCTCCGCGGCGGTATCGAACACCGCAATGTGCACAGCCGCTACCCGCCGTTCAACTACTACGGGGCCATGACGGTATCAGAATACGATGACGAGGAGGAGGAGAATGGCACGGAGCCGTTCAAAAAGATGATGTTCGAAGGTGCGGGAGGCCGGGAAGGACTTCAGATGCCCCTCATCTAAGGCAGTAGCTATGGCGTTGGCGGGACTCCGACAAACGGTGCATTGCTAGTCTTGCTCAGCACATAATGTGCGGCTCAAGGCGTTTCTAGGTTAATGATGGCCTGAGATTTACGTGATATGATTTTGGCCGAGCTTGCCGCAATCTTGCACAGTGGCCTGCGGTCTGTAGACGTATTTTGCATTCATACATTTGAACTTCAATATATACCCAGGGATGAACCCTTCAGATCTGACCGAGCCGTATCGAATTGAGGACGAAAGCGTCGTTGCAAGCCGCATGTTCGTTCTTTGCATTGGTCTTGTAGATATTATACGAGCATCTCCACATCTCCTTGGGCATTCGCTAATTTTAGTCACGTAAGATCTTGATCGAAATACTTCCAAAAGTGAACTCGGAATACTGTAAGTTGAGACACACAGTAGAAGACGCACCTAGTCGGTGAAAATGAAACGACTAACCTGTCCCTAAGTGAATCGAGGAGGCACCCCCAATCGAGGTATATAAGGCGCACTTCTATCTCTCGGGCCACTCATCGCCACTGAATCCACCAAACCATTCTTTTAAACCACCACACCCAGCAGCCCTTTAGCCCCCTCAAACAACATCACTTCGTAAGTCTTTCACATTGTGTCGCTCTACTAGTCATACTGACTAAGTACAGAAAGCACTATAACATCTTACCAATGGAACCCGCTTCCAACAGCTCTGCTCATTCTACGCTATCAGTCATGTGGGAGCACATCTGCAAATACGCGTTCCTTTGTACCCGAAACGACTCGCGTCTCCTACCTGATCTCACCCAACCTGACGCTACCAAATGCCCCTACTTCGGTCTCAGCAGCACTAGCAGGACCATGGTCATCTCTTCTGAGCTCCTCCTCATTACAGTTCTTTTTATATGGGTGCTCCTTGAAGCCTGGAACGAGGCTCAAGCTCCGCCTGACGATCCGCTCACGAACGTTGAGGAGCCCACAGCATACCCCGTCGCACGAGCTACGAGCAACTTCTCTGAGCAAATGAACTGGTACATGGACATCATGGGAGTCGCAGTTGCTATCTTTATGCGACTCGGAATGGCGAGGATTGGCCTCGGGCTGCGCGAGAAGTCAGCGGAAGAGATCAAGGCGGACAGAGAGAAGAATGAAGAGTTGCGTGAACTTCTGAAGGCGGCCAAGGAGAAGAACAAGGAGCTGCGTAGGTGTGTGAGGGAAGTTCCCAAGGAGGACGACTCCGCTAATGGTAATGGCGAGAGCGATATGCCGGAGTCGGAGTTTGACAACACCAACAACGGCTCTGGTGATCGTGCCGAGAACGATGTTTCGAAGCTGGTCGAGGAGAGCGATGGTTCTGGCGACGATAGCGAAGACGATATGCCGGAGTTGCTTGAGGGGGTCAGAGAGGAAGAGGAGAGCAATCTTCCAGAGTTCATTGATTAAGCCAAGGGTCGCACCCTCCATGCCCAAGTGGTAGCGGACATGCTTTGGCTAAAGAAGGAAGTGGGCAGCGGAAATGTTGGTGCCAGTGGGTATTAAAGCCAAGAGTTAAGCTAGTACTCGGTTTATAGGCGAAAGTATCAAGCGGGCAAACTCCTCCAGGTGTTTTTGTCGATATTATGAGCAATTGACTTTTACACAAATGAACATTCAAGTCGGCTCTGGCTGCGCTCGGCATTCCGCTTCCTGAACACGATTGAACTCGAATATAGACACCGTGATATTTCTAGTACGCATTGGTGATCTATGACCTCAACCCTAACTGCGAGCATTAGAAGATGATTCTCCAAGACGATTTCAAAGAAGGTGAATAGAAACTTGCGAATTACGATGAGTGCGGCTATCTAAATTGACGTTCACGCAAATGTCCTCATATCATGAATCCACGCATTCAGGAATGAAGGAAAGGAGATTGCCAGAACATTCACCGTATTGAACCAGGAAGTGACTTCTTCCCACGCAAACTGGCCTATATAAATCAACGTCCTCCTTCCCAGAGCAACCATCAACCTCCATTACTCCACCACACGGCCCACACCACTTCGACCCCCCAACAACACGCATCAAGTTTCCGCTTCTCAAAGCAACAACATTCTATAGCTTCGTAGGTTCATCAATCCATCCACATTGTTAAAACTTACTAACCTAAAAGAAATAGAGCACGTCATTCAACCTCTTGCGGACATGGAGCACTGCCACCGAACCGGCTGGGACTGGGCGAAGATCGTCTCCGCTGACTGCGAGTGCGGTCTCCTCAGGAAACTCCCAATGTATCCCGAACTCGTGGTCCTGCCTGGACTTATGACCGTCTCGAAAATTATCCTCGTTGCACTCAATGGTAAGAGCATCCCAAAATTTCAGAACGAAAAATCATGTCTGACCAGAACTACAGTCTGGGATGCATACCGTATTGATGAGCCTACTCACGCCGTTGGTCACTACTTTCAGGAGAAGGAGGCTCATGAAGGTCATGACACCGAGGACTCCGACGAGGATTTCGATATCAAGAGCCTTCCCTCCGAGATTCGTGAGCTTGAAGATGATGACGACGCATCCTCGGTCAAGAGCATGTCTTCCAACATTCAGAAGCACCAGTATAAGCTCTCTACCCTTGAATATGCAACAGACGACTCCGAGATCGCTGGTAGAGACGACAACGCGGATCTAGAGAAAGCAATGAGGGCGGCATCCTTCAACGCGGATGGAGAGGAGATTGCCAAACTCGTTCAGGAGGATGATGACCGTGGCAATGTTGAGCACTCCAAGGAGGCGCACGAGGCCAAGGCCTAAGAGAGCGAGAACGACATGGCCGATCGAGCAAGGGTATGGACGGCGGGCGGGGCTTGAGATAGCTTCTGCCTGATACTACCTCGGAGCAGCTGTGCTAGTCTTTCTCTTCACGACGTATTGGGGGTCTTTGGGGAGCCGCACTGTGCCTCTGACTACGGAGTCTTGGTACTATATGTCATAGGTTCCGAACAGAATTCAAGTTCAGCAAAGATGAGTAGAACGTGAAAGTTGTGTTGTGGTTTTTCTGCACTCATGCGAGGTTCCTCAATATAACCCAATACCAAACCGTGATTCTCAACCACGGTAATACAGAAGTCAGATTTGGAGGCCTCAGTCCATGACATGACCAGTTCAGGTAAACTTGTTCCTCCAGGGGTTATCCAATACGGGACACGCTCTCGCAAGCGCAAACAAATCGCGACAACTACTGCACAATGTGAAGAGATACTAAAGCGACGGTAACTTCGAAGGCACTTGGTGGTCAGCCCCCTATTTTTCAAGTTCGTCAAGCATTTTCAACGTCGTCCTACGTGAGATTTTGATGCGGTTACAGGTTGGCAAGTTTAAAATTCAATCGATATTTCTAGCAGTAAACTGCAAGGCAGGGAACCTTTTTAAACGCGTCGTGTGTAACTTATCCTTACGGAACAGAGAATGGACTACTAACCGACACCATCTATGACCACTACTGATCGCTATCACGAGATGACTTCCCATTCTTCTGGACTACGGTCGGCTAATCACCAGTCATAGTGCTCGGAGAGGTTCATCCGGAGACTGTTCCCGTAGTTTCATTAGTGCCGTCCATGGCTGACGACTTCGTCGCGGCACTTCGTGTAAAGGAACCGGCAGTCGTTGAGCCCTGGCCGACCTTTCCATGGACGGAGTTACCCAAGCCCGCCTTGAGCTGATCTTCACCACGTTCGGCTTCTCTAGAAGGATCTTCCACGTACGTATGCTTTTCAGCCCCTTTGCACGGCTTCTTCTCGAGCTTAAGCGCATTCTTCGTGCCGTCCATAATCGCCTGAACTTGAGCATTATTGAGCGTTCGAATAGTGCACTTCACAAGCAGAGCATCATGGTGCATTGATGTGTCGGGAATTTCAGCATGTGGGACTGAAGACCCTCGATGCCTTTCATGAAGTTGAAGAAGCGAACGCCGTCGACGGTGACGCTCACTCCATTGGCGTTGCATTCACAACTGGCCAGCTCCGCCCATTTATTCGCGCCCATGTAGACCAGGTGTGGCGCGCCAGAATAACGGAGCTTCGGCACCTTGGTGGTCTTCGTGGTTGCCTTGTTTCTATTAAACGAGTCCTCGAGGCGGTTGCAGCCGACTTGGAGGATGTCCTGCGAGAGTAAGTATCGGCCCTATACCATCCCTGTAATTCAGAAAACCTTGAGAAGCTTAATAAGAATAAGGACATGTACTTACCGCCTTAGCTTTCGCGAGCTCCTCAAGTTGGGCCATATACTCCGGACGCTTGGTCTCCAGATTGTCTCCTTCGCTCTTCGTCATCTTCTTACCGTTAACGCCCCTGAACTTACTCTGGAGGTCCTCAACCTTGTTAAGAACTGATTTTTCTAGTCGATCGTGTTCCCTGAGACAATGTAGCATATCAAACGCGCTTAATTGCTCTTGGGGACTCTGGGTTTGGATTTGACGAATGAAGTCCATGGTCATCATGGGCGCGCCCTTTAGGTAGTTCATGACGGGTGAGAAGAGTTTACGAGTGCGGACAGCTTGAAAGAGTGTGTAAAGAACCAGGCGATAGTGATGTAAGCTGTGGGGATGTGAAGAAGATCATGAGAGCCCGTTAGAGCTTTATATTCAGCACTAGGGCATAGATATAGGCACTCGTGATTGCTGCTGTTTGATACAACCCTTTGAAAATGATGGAAACGTCAATTCAGCAGAAATCAGTTTTTCTTTTGACTGACTGACTAACTCACAGCCGGCCCACTCCTCACAGTAGTGTTCAGTGAGCAAGATTGGGGCTTGAGCGCAGTGAGAATTGAAGTGCCTTTTGACGGGTTCACAGTCTCTTAGCTGGGCCACTCCTCACGGCGGTGCCGAGTGAGCAAAGCCAGAGCCCTGGCAGCGACATGAGCATGTGCTAAAGATCTTGAACCAGCGCCGTACGGCGATCTAGAAAATTAGGAAGTGACTAACCACAGGAGCTTCTAAACAAGTCGCTCTTTGATTGCTACTACAACATTGTGGGTGCGTTGAGGAGCAATCCCAATGCCCTTGTCACCGGAGAAATCGTTAAGTAAAGCATTCCCAAACCTAGCAAGCCAAACCTTTGGTGGTGTTTCACCAGCTCGGAATATGTTTCAAATTGCCCATACCAATTTAGCATCTCGGGGACTTTACCTTTCCGTTATACCTATTTCATACCCTCCGGCCACCTCCAACGGCGTCGCAAACTGTGCATCAGGCAATGGGAATGGTGTTGAAGTATAACCAACCAAATCTCCTGGGGCAAACGGAAGGCAGATTTAGTCTGATATAGGCTAGAATCACTAGCCATATTCTAACTATGTAAACCGCAACCAGTTTTAGGTTGTTGTGAAAGCATAGATAGCTCTTTGAAAGACAACTCATGGCAGATTACAAGCTTTCAAACCTCTACCACTCGCGTATCAGTCTGCAGCCTCTAATCCTTAGGCCCATCCTTCAGCTCCAATATAGCTAATCCGACAGAGTCTTATCTAGTCCGGTCCACAATCAACTTATCAGGACAACTCTCGCTGCTTGAGAACCAAAGCTATCAAAGGACCCTCAAACGTACAGTACTGTCACATTGTACTGTGATCGCACGCTCAAAGTCCGTTTCCGAACGCCCATGCGTCATCATCCTCGTCGTTCTCAGTCTCATCGTCAGTCGTGTCGTCATCCGTGTCTAGGTTAGAAATCAGCACAAAAGACGATTTGTTTTAGAAGAGTATAACATACCGTATTCGTTGCCCGGGCTTTTCTGAATAAGCCAGTTGACTTTCCTGACGGATACCCAATGCCGGCCGCACCTCTTATCACTTCTTCCTCCCATGCAGGCCAAAAGAAGGTCTCACCCTGATCGTTTTGAAGATGCCTACGGAGGACCTGGGGGCCGCCCCGCCGGAACTTGGATTGGTCAGGTACACAATGGGGACACTGTAGGCTGATGTAATAGCCATTGCCTAAGTTGACGATATAGGGGGTTCAATACGGGACAGCGGGATAATAGTGGTCACCAACCGGCGCATCTTCTTCCATGGTAATACTTGTCGTAGTAGAGAGGGCATCACATTCTAGTCTATTCGCGCGGAGCGGTCGATTTCGAGTAGCTGTGGATCGATCATGGCTTCATTAATAGGAGAGCGTTGAGCGTGAGAACCTGTGTCTTGAGCTACGTCCAATACAGAGACTGGAGATTGAGCCCGGGGGGTGTCATGAGTAGCCATGCGAGGCTTCCGCTGAATCTTTGAAGGATTGGCAACATTATCGATTGAAGAGTACTTGGCAGCTGGTGAAAAGTGATGAGAACTCTGATGTATTGCTATGTAGGAGGATAGGTATATATAGGCGTAAAGGAGCCAAGCCAGCTGAGAGAAGGAACCCTGTTGAGCTGAAAGGCGACGCATGCAAGCTGAGGAATGGCGCTAAGGATGCGCTAGTGCAGTAGCGTATGGACGGCTGCCAGTACTGGGAGGCCGAAGTACCGAAGGCGGCGAGAGAATCCGCCACTTGGGCTACGTATGATGCAGAAACTGGGAGTTGAGCTCCGTGGACGTCACGAGCAGCCATGCAAGGCTTCAACTCGACCTTTGGGGCATGCGCGGCGTTCGCTTCAGGGCCTCCATATCAGCCCATGTCAGTTCACGAACTGTGCAGAGCTTGAATGCGAACAGTGACCGGGTTGCTATGAACGTGCTGAATATGGGAGGTAAATCCGTGGAGTCCTTTGAGGTATTTGCTAGAACAACTACGACGACCTAACGGACCAACCGAGTTTCCATTGCACAGGGCACACTCCAGGTCCGCCCACGTCCCTGCCGGCGTCAACACAATGTGGGGGTATACTGGAAGGCCGAAGGTCATGCGATTGCGCTCGGAAGGTATATCGAGAAGGGTCTTGGACGACTTTGCCGCGGACTAAGAATCGAAGTTAGTGGAGGCTGAAGATGCGCATGGATACGACGCGCTGGGGTACGACTCACAAGTTTTGCCTCTTCCAGACGGACTAAGTCTTGATAACATTCTGCTTGCTCTTTTACGACATCGTTGATCTGCTTTTGGGTGCGGAGGGAGCCGGGCTGTTGGCTGAGGAGCTGGCGCCTCCCGCTGCTGAAGTCCCGGAATGCGTGTATTGACCTGCGCTTCAAAGGAATTGTCGGTGAGACTCTTGCACACACAACCGAGGGCCTCGAAACGTGTCCGGAGGTCCTTCATGATTCGAATGAGGATGTGTGACCAGAACGCGCGATAGTTCTGGCGAATAGCAGTTGGGTGCAGACTGCAAAGCTGAGTGACGAGAAAGGCGAATGAAGTCCGCTTATCGGGTTTTCGGGAAAGGAACAAGTGTTTCTGCGAAGCTTTGTGCGATTGGCCGATAGGGTTGAGATGAGAAACGAGATGGTAAATGGGGAGGCGGCAACGCACAGTGCATTCACCCCCTTTTCGTCATAGAAATGAAGTTCATTCACTACTCTTCAACTCACTTCAATACACCTATCGTGCTGCTGGCTTACTATATGCATAATGACGCTTTGGAAAATGGTGAAAGGGAGTTATCATGCTCAGTGGGTAAAGGATTGACCCTCTCACGCAGCTCAAGTACGAGCGGGACAGGTCGAGGGCTACGCACGACTCTGCATGAAAACGTTGCTATTAAGATATGGGGAGCGCTACTTGTACACCCCCTTTTCACTACACGTACACCCCCTAATCGCTACACGTACACCCCCCTCCTCTTGGCGCTTCACCACCTTCTAATTGGCTCGGAGAGCCCAGAGCTTCCTCCGGGCATTCACCTTTACGTCTCTCTACACGTAATGCTATATACGAGGCCGTACGTAATGCTATACGCGAGGTCGTACGTGATGCTATACGCGAGGCCGTACGTGATGCTATACGCGAGGCCGTACGTGATGCTATACACGAGGCCGTACGTGATGCTATACACGAGGCCGTACGTGATGCTACACACGAGGCCGTACGTGAGCTCGTACGTGAGGCTATACATGAGCTCGTACGTGAGCTTGTACGTGAGCTCGTACGTAAGGCTATACATAAGCTCGTACGTGAGCTCGTACATAAGGCTATACAAATTGGCATTATGTAATTGCTTGTGTTGTACATGGCCGCATTTGGAGAGAGCATTCGGAATTAGTGAGCGAGTTAAGCGAGCGAATCGGAGGCTACGGAACAGTGTTCCGAGCCAATTAGAAGGTGGTGAAGCGCCAAGAGGGGGGGGTGTACGTGTAGCGATTAGGGGGTGTACGTGTAGTGAAAAGGGGGTGTACGAGTAGCGCTCCCCTAAGATATCGATCCCGGTATAGCTACTATGATTTTCGGCAGAATTCTTATTTGAATATCTAAAATTGGACAATAGTGAGTTGATGCCTAAAGCCTACGACACCAGGGATACGAATTGTCGAGAAAATGCTAAGAGAGAGGAATAAATACCGGCCTTCTTCTCCACAACATTACTCATATCGGGGCAGTGAGCGGGCCCAATAAGCAATTGTTCATGTTCACCAGCGTCTATAGGTCTTGTAAGTTTAATGGTCATCGCTATCTTCGCTGACACAACAGATATACATCACACCCCCTTTCTCTGTATGCATCTAGCCATAGCGAGGGCTTAATGATACTTTTGGCGATTATTTTGAGCAGTACTCTGCGATAGGGCCTTCTAGGGCGACCAAAACTTTGTTCGTGACTGAACATAGGTGGTCTCTCCACCGACGGGCCGTGTCAGATTATGAAGTGTAAGAGCAGGGTAACTACGATAAATTCCAGGCTAGCAAACGACTTGACCTGGTGGCCTCTTCAAGGTTTCCAAATAGAAAGCGAGGACTACCTTTGTAGATATAGACTATAACGTGTAGCGTACTGTCTCCGCGTAGACGCGGTGGCAATAAAGAGACTACCTTCGTGTTCCTAATACGGCGGAAGCACAGCAACGCCAGTGATGGCTAGGAGCAAGGGGCGATGTCTTGTAAGTATGGGAACGACAGTTAGACCACGTAATTGAATGGAAGCAGAATTGCAACGACTATGTCCATAGCAGGGGCACGTGAGATGATGAAAACAAGATTACCTTCGATGCGCGTGTGCGTCAGGTGAATGAGGTGTACCCAGCAATGACGTTGGTTGAGTGTTTGGGCTATATGTAAGGCCTTATTTTCGGCCCACTCAACTTGCACAGGAGCTTTGTCAAAGCCCAACACTTTCCTCTAGTGGTCCAGTGGACACAGGGTCCATCGTGTTCGGGTGAGGTGATGGCGCGCCTTGCAAGCATTAATCCCCTTCCTAAATATTGCCCTCCTTTAACATTCCCCAACTTCATCACACTATCATCCTCCCCTCTTCCTAAGTTCGACTCACAGTACGCTCGTATTTCGTATTTATGCTCATTGTTTTCTTGTTTCTATTTTTTCTTTTTTGCTTATTGCATATACGCATTATCCCATTCAACAGCGACTTGAATTCAGGAGTTTCATGGCTTTGCACGCAGATAATGCCTGAGCCTAATACATGCCAGCGTGGACTGGTGGGGTGACGTGCACGTGACGCACGGGATGCAGCCGAGTCTTAAACGAGATCAGCAACGTCATTCCTTGAATGCGTCAAGAAGTCGACTGTCTGGCCCACACTGAAAACCCTGCCTGATAGCTCCCCGAGAAGTAACCTGAGGGAGAAGCTTTGAAGGTGAGATTTCTTCTTAAGTGCTCCTGATGTCATACAAATCGAAACATTCAAACTGTTCACTTATAATTGCGGTTAGTCTGAAAGAGGGCGCCAAGGATAAGGTTGCTACACGATGAGATCCGCCCGCATGGAATTTGGCGCCCAGCCCCAATTCAGAGGTCCAAATTCATAGAACGGAGAGCTAGCTACACAGCCGTATCACACCAGGCATTGTCCTTTCGCCCAGTCACTAGCCAGGAACCATGCCTTCCGGATGCAACATCTTGCATACAAGAAAGAAAGAGAACACTAATCTCGTCGAATGATTATCAGCTCGCTGTACAACTCGACCAACTCTCTTGGATGTTGGAGTGATCGCCCACCACCCCATGCACAATCACCTACTTCTTTCGCTGGCGGAGAGAATAATCGGTGTATCGAAACGCCCTAGCCAAAACTGCCACATCAGGAGTGCTTGAGTCTGTCTGGTTGTTCTCGTCCGCTCCCAAATTCGCTTCTGTCATCTCTTCATCGCTATTTCCACGAACATCCATTGTATCTTCGTTATTGATGGTGTTCTGGGCATTGGCGTTGTTCTCGATCTCGTCATCCTCAGTCTCCCGACTCTGACCGGTGGTAGGCTCATTGAGATGATTACCATTGGTGGAGGCTTCTCCTTCGCTAATTCCAAATTCTAGATTTGTACTATCCCCGGAGTTATTGGCGTCCTGTTCCTCCTGAGCCTCATCGCTATCGGTAGCGGAAAGTTCTGGCTCAGCCTCAGTTCTAGCACGTTCGTCTCTATCACGGGTTTGGGCGTTTCCGGCGGTCGGGTTTACCGAAGCTGGTCTAACAGATATGCCCATGGCTGCGAAGTCTGCATCGATCTCGTCTCGAGTCGCCATAGTCACGAGTGACATCTTCTCCTCGACCGTCATCATCTCGCAAACGCGCTTCTCTACCGGGCGCGCGTTGCTAGTACCGTTCAAGAGCGCCAAGAGCGCCGCCTGGCTTAGGGCACGAGTTGTGCACAGGCGCTTGATTTCATCGTGGGCTAGCTCGACACCATGGATTAAAGAGAGATGGATGCCCAAGGCCGTGAGGCCGCTGAAGAACTTGAATGCGTGCGTACCGTTGCCGGTCGAGCCGTTGCCATGGCAGCGGTAGCATTCAAGCTCTGCCCATTGGCTGTTCCCGCAGTATATGATGTGAGGCCAATGCGAGACCTTCAGCTTGGGGAGAGCTCGAGCGGTAGAGGCTTGTTGGTTCATGACTGGGATAGTTGAAAGGGCGTTAATAGTTTGCGGAAGGAAGTTGGTGGGATTTTGGTAATGGTAGGAGACGATGAAGTGTGTGGAGTGGTGGTGTGGTGGTGGTTAGAAAGGTGGATGTTGTGTGAAAAGAACCCCTCGTCGTGGAAGAAGATGTCTTATATATTGACGCATAGTGCGTTCCACGCTATGAAGTGATTCACCTCCACCGGCGGGCGACAGGATCGTCAAACTCAACTGCTCGTGAATTGCTGCGACGAGCAGTCAATGAGAGGCAATGCTGCGCGAATATCAACTTGCTCTGAACTTTAAATAATACTACATTTCTCATTACCCGAGGTTTGGAAATATAGAGCGTCCTTGGCATGTATAGGACTGAGCGCGGTATAGTCTCAATATACTATACTACTCGATAAGTCCCGCGGAGCAATGATACTATGGTAACACCGGCAGCGTCTCTATTTGGTAGGTTCCGGAGGTAGTGGTTACGGAAGCCCTTTATGTCTGAGTCGATGTTCTCCTTTAGAGGCTCCCGGATCCCGTCCAACCTGCATCACTTCAGATAATTAACACAGCGCGAGTACCGTAAGTTCAAGTTATAAAGCAACGACGACAGTGCTATGCAAACCCAGAAATTATTAAAGATGGTTTATAATTATTAAAGAGTTTAGCCTTTGATAGCTCCATCGTCTAATATAAAAAGTATTGCTCCCACCCTCAGTATTTATGCCTACGAAGCTCTACCTATTTCCAGTACAAGCAAGCCAGAAACACACAAACTTCTCGATTTGAAAGAATAGAAGACTTCCAGCAGCACTTGTCGACCCCCGGCAGTCGCTCGCTATTCGTGGCAAGAAAAGCCCCTACTTTCGGGAACGAAGAGCATGGAAGGTGTACCGATATGCGCATGCCAAGGCTGCCACATCAGGTACGGTCGAAGTAGTCTGTTCATTAGTGCAGACTTCTTCGTTCGTCTCCATTCCACCGGCGTCTGCCATTATGTAAGCCTCTTGCTCAAATGTTGATTTTAGATTGTAGCGTAACATACCTGACTATTCTCGACGTTCCGATTCTTATCCTCGTCAATCTCGATGTTATTCTTGGTAGCGGTCACGTTGGGCTCTGCGCCAGCACCAGCCAGCTCCTGCTCTCCAACTTCATCGTCATCAATGGCGGCATTCCCAACTTCGTCTTCCTCCTGGTTCTTTTGGACCCCCTTGTTGCCATTGGATTCAGAGGTCTCGGACTCGGTATCTAAGATTGGCAAATCTGCGAATCGAACTCGAGCGTGGTCTATCTCAGTTTGGCCATTATCGACAGCATGTCCACCTCGCAGGCCCATAGCCGCAAAGTCTGCGTCAATCTCCTCCTGAGTGGCCCCTGACACTAGCGACTTCGCTTCTTCGAACGGCATAGTAACACAAACACGCTTCTCTACTGGGTGAGCCGTGCCTGTTCCAGCCACTAGTCCTTCCAACGCTGCCTGACTTAAGTTGCGAGTAGTGCACTGTGCCTTGGCTTCAGCGTAATCTAGTTCCTCGCCGTGCACTCGGCGGAGATGAGCTTGGAACGCGGCCACGCTGTTTAGGAAGACGAACCCGTGGATGTCGTTCGTATTATGTCCGTTTCTATGGCAGATATGGCATTGCAATTCGGCCCATACGTTGTTTCCTTCGCACACAATGTGAGGCCAGAATGTCAGCTTGCGGTTAGCATTGTGCGTTGAGTGATCCATGACTTAGGTAGCGATTTAGGAAGTGAAGTGCTGTTGGAGAGGAAAGATAAAAAAAAAATAGGGGATTGTGTGTGACTTTCTGGCTTGGAGGTTGTGGTGGTGCTGGTGTGATTAGTAGATGGACGTTGTGCAAATTGCCTTGCCTCAGCGTGGAGGAAGACCTCAAATACTACAACTTATGGGATTTTCCGTTCACTGAAGCCGCCGAAAAGTGAATGTTCCTCCTATACGTCACAGTCCTACTGGCGTAAACTGCCTGTGAATGGCCGCGACATTGTTGGGGGCACCGTTGGGAAGCAGTCGATAAGCACAGGCAAAGCCGCGTGCCCCCATCATGTTTTCAGGTCTGAACATGACCAAGAAAATCATATTATCCGAGGCTCCAAGATGTGAAACGCCCTGAGGATCTGTATAAAACTAAGCTCGGTGTAGTGTTAGTATACATGAGTACCTAATGAAAGTCGTAGAGGGGTAACACTAAGAATAAGGACTTTGGCCTTTAAGCCTGGACATTCCTATCTATAAAGAAATATCAGACGTTTAGTTTGCGATCCGTTCAAACAAACTTTCTTTCATTCCAAAGTATTTCAACTTCCGGTCAATTTAGAATCAATTTGGAATTCTAAAAACCATGTAGGAGATTACTAGCAATCGCATTGGCAAGAAAGTATAGGTATGTCGAAAGCAGCTTCGAAACAATTGAGACAATTGAGAAATGACTGCTCTAACCCCTTCCTCGTCACGTACCGGAAGTAAAAATGCTTGTTCCAAATGAGCACGCAATGGTGTCAAGCCGTTTGGTTAGCGGGCAAAGCCGCAGTCTCAAAGTAAGGTTGCTTTATGGCCCATATGCCGGTCCCAATCAAGAGGCCTGCGCACTGACTAGCAATGAGTGTTATACATCGTAGGAAGTCGGAAAAGAAAGAATGTGTCACATAACATATCAAGTTTATGGCAATTACATTGTTTAAGAGCAACGATGAGACTTGTACAGTACGTCGGAAACATGAAGCGTTGCCGTCTAAGACTCTTGATTGACCCTCTCCGTCGTTCTTTGAAGACGACGTACTCCATATCCACGTGGCCATGAAAACAATTACCCAATATCCACATACTCTTAACATACAAGACACATGACCTCAACCATTGTGACCTCCCTAAACCCCCCACGATTCCCCTCTCCTACCCCTTCCTCCAACGAAGCCTATACCCACTGAACCCCGCCGCCCCCAACCCCCTCTCCCGCGCCCTCCCAACAACCTCACGACCCCCCTCACCAACATCCCTCATCTCCACATCCTCCTCCGCATCAACGTCAGCGCCAGGCTGCCCCGCCCCCCGCCGCGCCTCCACCTCCCCACCGCCCCCCCTCTCACACGGCCACTCCACCACCGGCCGCACCGTCGAGCCCCCCCTTACCAACGCGTCCACCTCCGCCGGTATGAGCTCTCTTCCGGCACACACCCTAAAAACCGCAACATTCGGCATCCGGACCCCATGCACCTGCGCTAGGTGGTTCGAAAACGCAGGCACTCCGCGTAGAAACTCGAAGCCGCCATCGTCGGCGGTTTCGTGCCCGTTGCCGTGGCAGTGCGGGCAGCGGAGCTCGGTGTAGTGCCCGTCGGGTTGGGAGATGAGGTGGGGCCAGTCCGATAGTTGCTGTGCGCGTCGAGAGGCAGTGGGAGGGGGAGGTGGGGTGGTGGGAAAGGAGTCGGCGAGACCGGGATGCGATACGCTCAGGAGCTCCTATGCCAGGTTAGTAGCTGTGGCTTTCGAGGGTGTGGAGCGGGACGCACTGTCTTGTCTTTTGCGAGCTTGTGGAGTCGGGCGAGGTAGACTGTGTGCACTAGTTCTATTCCTTCGAGCTCTTCGGTCGTGGATGGGGTTTGCGGTTTGATGATGAGCTGGCGGAAGAGAGTTTGGGCTTGTGCGTCTAGGTCTGTGATTTTCGTTTCGAGGGACTCTATCTCATTGAGATGGGCGAGGAGGGTTGGGGCGGAGAGGGGCTCGTTGGGGATGTGTTCGTTGGAGCGGGAGGGGGGTTTTGAGGACGAGATTTTTGGGGAGTCCATGTTAGGGAATTGGATGAGTAAGAATGCGAGGTTACGAATGGAAGAAGGCTGGCTTGTGGAGTAAACGTGTATTGTGGTGGTGGCAAGGTAGAAGTTGTCCAGAATGAGCCCCTTCCCGGAGCGAAATGATGACTTAAATACTACGCCCTGCCGTGAATCCAGCTTACTAGAAGGGCGAGAGAGGTGAATATTCCCCTAGTATATAACCAACATGGGCTGCCGAATGCAGCCGTCCATCGCTGCGAAGTACTACGCTTACTGTCGCGCCGCAAAAGACGTAGCGGAATGCAACATGTGAATATCTGGCATATAAGCACCGTAAAAGCATCTTACGTATACATTGCGTTGTTCGCTAGTCTCCTAGCACCTAATATGTACCTAGCTCGTTTTTCCAGCCTTCCATATCTGAGAGACTAGTCCAAATGAGATGCGAAACGCGTACCCTTTGCAGGGGACTTAAATGCATGCTAATATAGCCTACAAGGAGCTTGCGCCGTCATTTCACTACTGTTTGCCCTGCCGCTTGTCTGGTAGCTTGTTACATATGATTATATGGGGTCCTAAATTCCGACAAGTCCTACCCAAAAGACCCAAATTTGCTTGCTGGCTTGAATATCGACTAGTTAGTGTTCATAGTCTTAATTGCTGGAACTTGGTTACATTTGGCTTTATAATGCGAGACGAAAACCTGTTTCATGTGCTGCAGCTCAATTATCCGAGAGAATGGCCGGCCATCGGTCTTCACTTAGTCGTAAGCTAAAGCATGCTTGTAGTGATCGAGAGGTAGCTCGGCGATCCGGTCAATTGCTCTGCAAATACCTGTTAAAAATAGTATGAAATCACAACCTCGACTCAACACGACAATCCGCCACCTCGCTCCCATACCAAGCACACCACCAAGTCGCCACCCGCCCATCCGGCATAGTCGGTTCCCCAATAACCAGAAGCGCATGGAAAGCCACCGCCCCAACCGCATAGAAACCCCAGAACGTAAACAGCGGTATACAGCTAGCTTCCAACCCGTGGTCTCCCCAGATGCCTCGACAGAGCTTGTTCCGGCTGAAGGACAGACTCAACACCTTCACTACCACACCGCTTAATATGGTGGAGACAACGTGAATAAAGAGCCTCAACGAACAACGCACCCATTCCGGATCGCACATCCTGAGGGCATCGACAATAGCGAACTCAAGCGCTAATATCGGTACGAAGCAGAGGAGCATGCGGCTTGGCACTTCGAAGCGTCGCGCGACCGAGGCAAGTCCTTCCATGTCGTGGAAGCAGGTGAATAAATCACGCCGTTGGCATTTTCTACCGTATCTTTGAAGACCCATTGCGAATACACGTGGCCGTCTAAAGAAAGGAAGTAGGAGCGCACAATTATGTTCGTAGGTGCGGGCATGCAGATGAGCATGTCCGAGTAGGAAGCTGTTCTGCACTGGAACCCTTTGTCGAGAATCGGATAGTGGAGGTCTAGGTAGAAAGAAATGTAGAGCGTGTGGTCGTCTTGTACGCTCCAGCATAACGAGCGGTGGCATGTTTGGAACTTCTCAGTCTCGAAGATGGGATGGCGGTATCTTGGAGCTACGGCTCCGTAGGTATCGCCAGCGTTTCGGGAAGTGATGCCATGCCACTTCTGGCATTCTGCAGCTCGGGCACTGTTGGCCTCGGTAATGCTGACATTGCGCACCTATAGGTCGCTCCGTCCATCAAAGCCAGCTAAAAGGTGGGGATATTGGGATGGCAGCCGCCACAATGGGCGACGGAGAGATGGAGTATTTTCCACCATTGCTTTCCACTGCTTGCACACCATGCCCCAGCGCAGGATGTCCTCATCAACGTGCAGTTCCTTCATGATCATTTCCGCTAGTTCTGGAACATGGAAGACTCGGGCGGCGGCAGACGAGATTGGCTTGTTGGAGGAGGGAACTCGACGTCGATGTTATGTGAGAAGGTTGATGGCGGGGCTGAAGATGCTGATGGCTTCCTCGACCACAGCAAGCAAGGATGGCATGGTTGCCAGGACGTCCGAGCGGTGGATCTGAGTGCGATGATTGTGGATGTTGTCTTCGCGATAGGACGTAAATTGCGGCGCTCATACCACCCTAAGTCCAAGTGTGAAAATGCCAGTAGCTGAGCAAAAGCGCCTTCTCTGGACAGTTGAAGATATGATCTGCTACTCTCCAGGGGACGCCATCTGGGGCCATGGCGTTAGGACAGAGGTCTGGACTTTGGGGCCTACGTGGAAAAGCTGCCAGTGGGGTGGTTGGACAGGGATGGGAGGTGAATGGTGAGAACAAAATGGCAGGCTCGACCTGAATTAAATAGGTCTCTGAACGAGGAGGTGCAGTGAATGGTTTGATGGGTGTTTGAGTGCCACGGAAGGTGCCTGGTCATATTGACGGTCGTGAATGGGGAATTTATAAGCTTGAGTTGACGGTTAATGGGGCTTGGAAATTAACGGAGATGGACATAACAAGCCTTTTTGAGATTTATTTCGCGATACTGCAAAAGAAAGCATGAAAGCTGTGTTGGATTATATTTTGAATCATCGATAGATGTGCTCATTAGATGTGAATATATTCGGTGAAGAAAGAGAAAGGGTACTAGGGTTGTCAAACTCTTGATATTAAAAGTGTCGCTGAACAATGTCGAAGAAGAATTAGAATAAAACGGCCTTGCGAGGTATCTTGAAGCCCGAAAGAAAAAATTGAAAGGAAAGCTCAATGCTCAGCATTACTCTTAGCGGCCCACCGGATATCCTTGGTCGGAACTCTTCCAGGCCCTTTCCACATATCATGCCGATCGACAAGACTGTTTGCCGTGTCCGCATGCTTGAGCTGATAGTCTACATGGTCCGGATCGTCCTCTGCCAAAGTCGAATCGTTGGAAGTTGTCTGAACCAAAACACTGTCGATAGTAACCGGGTTCTTCCCCGGCATCGCCGACAAGGATTTCGACCTCACAAGCTCTAAGTCCGCCAAGGACTCCTTCTGCATATCCTCGGACATGGACCTCTGTGTATTTTCCGCCGGCTGTGTCTGGCCAGCATTACTCAGACTCCGTTGCGGGCCCTTCTTCTTCTTTCCACCCCAACTCCCAGAAAACAGTCCCAAGAACCCTGGCCTCTTCGGGGATTCCAAACTCCTTCTGGGCGCCTTCTCTTTGTCCTCCTTCTCCGCAAAATCCAGCGGTAATTTCGCGTTTCCCCGAAGCTCTTGGTTGATATACCTCAAGGCCATGTCGGTTGCCTGCACAAACAACGGGTACTCTCCCTCGCAGGCCTCCCGAATCAGCTTCAACTTTGCCCAATCCCGCTTCATCGTTGCCCCACTCAAATCGGGGTGCCACCCCAAACTCTTGATATCAATCTTCATCCCCCGCTCCACCTGCTCTTGCACCCCAAACAAGTCAATCAACTCATCCACCTGCGCCTTAACCATATTAATAAACCCGTTGAACTTGTCCACATCCTTGACAGTCCAATGCTGGGCCACCATGCTCATCCCCCTTCTCGGCATTGGAATGCGCGCCTTCTTATGTGAGAGGTCCTGCAGCAGCGCATATTTCTCGCGAAAAGCTTCGAGACGGTTGAGGTCTACAGCCTGCTCGCCCACCCCCAAGCGCTTCGACGGCTTCAAGCCGTACGTCGCCATCATGTCCTCCCGCCCCAATTTTTCTGGCCTGCCGACAATCTCTTCCAAACACGCCTCGACTTTCTTCCTCACATCTTCTTCATCCAGCCGTGCATCGCGCGCCCCAAAGTTTATCGGCGCCGAGGGGTCTGGGTTCGTGAGCCCGGCATGGCTCGGGACGAACTGTGTCGCGATGGTCGCGGGGGGCGAGGAGATGCCGACGACGTCGCCGAAGATAAGGAGGCGGCCCTGTTCCAGCCCTAGGCGGGTGAGGGCGAGCTTTTGGTGGTGGGTGGAGGCGGAGGGGTGGATGAGGGTGAGGGCTTCGGCGGCGGTGGAGAAGAGGGTCGTCAGGGCGATGACGGACGCGAGGATGGCGGCTTGCTCTTCTTGGATGGCGGTTTCTAGCGTAGCTGTGTGTGTGGCAGTGTTTGAGGGCGCATTTGGCGCGTCTTTGGGGTCGCCGTTTGCGGTGGTGGTGGTTGTGGTGGACATGGCGAGTCAATCGATGCGCCAAGCGGGGTCGCGCAATTGTGGAGGGTTGTCGCCGAGGCAAAGAAGAACAATGAACGAATTGAAATGGATGTGAGGTATGGAAATGGGCATGAAGCACGGTATATCAGTTGCGACAGCAGCGAAAAGCGTCGTGGGAGTGACTGGCAGGGTTTTCCATGGCGAAGTTTGCATGCACCCCAGTGCCCACTTAGCTGTACCTTCGCGTCCACATGACGTCTCGGCCGCGTTTGCGGAGGGCAGGGCGCGCCCAGACATCAACAGAGCGGGGAACGGCCTAGCTGCATGTCGTGGGGCGTCGCGAGAGCCTGTCACCTGTGGACCGCGATCAGTAACAAGAAGCCGGTACAGGATGAGTTACATTACAGCCCGGTATGTATGGTATTTCACGTTCTTGACAGTAAATTATGGCGATGACGCTTGCAAGAGCGACGTCGAGATGCTTGGAAGACTTTTCGGCGCATGGCACGGGCACGCCTGGAGTCGCGGGGCAGGCCGAAAGCCGATCGGCAGCGCAAAAACGGCATGCCGATGTGACTCTGAGCCGCTCACGTGATCGGCCCCGCGCTCCCAACATCCATGCACGCATGTTCTCCCCGATGGTCGCGGTATCCCTAGTATCAGCCCCTTTCTAAGCTGCTGGTACGCCAAGGGCAGCCGAAGGAGGCTTCGTCGTCTTAACGGCCGCAGCCCCCGCGCCAAATTGGGCAACTTGACTCCCGGTAGCGGCAGAAGGAGCTTTCGTAGCCACGGTTGGCCTATTGAGAGCTGTAGGAGCAGACCAGGCTGGAGCAGACCAGGCTAGAGCAGTTGCACCAACAGCTGTTGGTGCAGTGCTGGCTTGCACCGGGCCGGGCCCAGATATTGCAGTCTTGAGGATAGGACCGATTCCCAGCTGTCGTTCGCCCATCGCTGACTCAGATATCGCCAAGAATGAAAAAGGAAATGAACTCTTGAACATTGACGAGAATGACAGCACAGGCGGAGGTCAGCCTGACTCCAACCTCGACTCAGGTACGCAACTTCTGCAAGAAGTGTTCATGCCAGCCACTGACTTTAATATAGCCGCAGATGCAGAGACCGAAGACGGGGGGCTGGAAGGTAGAGAAGTGGTTCAGCCCGAAGTAAACAGGACTGACCCTACCGTCGTCGAAGGGGAATTCCGCTACAGCTTCTACGGTCTCCGCACCCGGAAGGAGTAGAGGGCTGTTTCATCTGGATTGGAGATAGATGCAGCGTCGATGATGGCTCTCGACCTATCTCAGTCTGCTGAGACTAGAGGATTGGTTCTTTCTTATTCATTTGTATTGGGAGCATGTAGCAGCTAGAAGGCATTTTTTATGGACGAGAGATCAGCGCCTCTCTTGCTAGATAATAAACAGTCTGCAACTCAGCAAATTCTTAGAGCGCTCCGGTTTGTAGAGGGACTGCAGCATCGGAAAGGGGACTCTAGATGCGGGGACATTCGCGCCATTCCAACGATAGCGACAATACATGGCGGGAGCTACTTAACTGGCGTGTCCAGTGAATTGAAAACTTGATAATGTTGCAGCATTTAAACAGGGGGGAAGAATTCTCACAAGACTCAACTTCGCGCCACACACCGCCAAGCCCCAGTCCCCCACACCCATACACCCACTATTTGTCTTCTCCCTTTTATAACATGGACTCTCGTCGACTTGCCCTTTCCATTATAGATTCATCTTTAATCCCGAGCACGAAGGTGGTAAGCTTTTGTCTGTATGTCAGTCTCCTAAAGCATATAAAATAACTCTGCTAGGAAACTCTCGATTTGCGTGATCGCCTTGATAAGAATGCCTTGGGAAAAGGCCACTCTATCCTCAAAGCTCAGAGCACGGCTAAGAGGGGCCAGAAAGTTTCCAAATGGCCCCATGTCATCTACCAAGGCAATAGCAGATGTGCGGAACTCCGTTGATTCCGCTGTCATGGGAATGGGGTCAAGGCTAGTGGTAGTGAGGACATCGTCTTTCTGAATGGCCTCACAGCTTTCATCGAACACCTCTTGATGGTACATGGAATCCAGATGGCGGATGCTATGGTCCTGAGCAATTGCACTGCTCGAAAGATCACTGGCACAGAGATGTACGCTTTGTTGTGCGGTAGGCTGAGCATTCCCGCCATCATGAAGCGGCCCTGCGTGGTCACAGAGGAGTACGTGTCTATGGTAGCATCTACTACCCGAACTGAAGCCGAAGATGACTTTACGGCCACGAAGTCTTGCTTCCAGGAGACGTTCAGGAATGATGCCACCTCGACCAGCAAGTCAGAGAAAAGCCCGGTGATCACCGATAGCACTGTGAATGACCACTCTCAGGGAAAAGGCACACAGACGTCTAAAGTTGTTGATCCGGGAGAACTTGGCGTTGATATTCCTGAAGTCGAAGGCGTAGATAATCCTGAGTTCATGGCTGCCAACCAGACAGGTACTTACACGCATCTCTCCAGGAGTATCCAAACACGGCACTGACTCTGATAAAGTAGATAGTGGCGACAGGGCGGAAGCTAATGCCGAGTTTAAGCACACCCCGGAACCTGCCTTCAGCAGCTTCCAGACGGCGATGGGTGCAGTTCGGTACACGAACTAAAACTCCGCTTACAAAAGCACTCGGGGATTGGCGACTGGAGAAGAGACTAGCGTGCGAGGCACAAAGGCCCGGGATCGCTCGAAGTGGCTTGGCTTCTGAGGCAATGGCAGAATCAAGCTGGCTGTTGGCCGGAGGGGAGTGGTATGCCAGAGCTTTGGCGTCTGTTATCGGGTAGAAAGTCAAACGGATTATACGGCAAGGATTTTTAAATATCGCCCCTTTTCTGTTCCTATCATAGAAATGTTAGCTGGCAATTCCTTGTATTAGGCTTATCGAGCGTCAAGTATTTGATTCAGAATGCAAAAAATCGTTCTTGGTGAATGCCCATAACCGTTTCGCTTCGGGTTGCGCAACATTTCGTATGTCGCAGACCAAGGCATCAGCCGTGGAGGCCTGAGGCAAGAACTGCATTAATAAGCTTGCCATCAAAGCTATATAGAACGTCGGGCGGGGTAACCCGACCGACAAGAGACACCACACACACACAATCAATCATACTCTGCTGCTTGATATCATTTCCAATCCTGCTTCATCCCGTGCACACCTAAGTGCGACAGTTATGAGCCCGGTAGCTCTTCTCCTGCTACACAGCACTACGAGCAACGAATAAATCAGACAATTCTCCTCTCAACGGAGCAGTTCTCACGAAGCGGCAACAATCCTCGGCCGATTCTACGAGAAGCGGGGTTGCAGAAAAAGCAACATCACAACCTCAACATTCAAAGATAAGGACTCAGAAATCGACTAAGTTAAGGCCTTTGAACAATCAAGATCAAATACAACAGTCTATCTCGAATTTACGGCAATCTGTCACACGTCTCGGCAACTTGCTACGCCTAAGTTCTATGCTCAACTTGCAGCAAAGCTCCGTTCTTGCCACCGGATTTTGCAGGAATTATCGCGACAATATTAATTAAAGATTACAACCTTCCAATGCTCAACACACGCAACAATTAGACCGATTAGATTAATTCTATTAAGGATTTTACTGTATAAAACAATGTATAGAACTACTATAACCCTAAAAGCATTAAAAACCTGGTCTTTACTATTACTAAACCACTAGACTTAGTAAACAAGAATATAATCTAGAGATTCCACAGCCTTTAAGCTATTTATAATAGCAAAAAAAAGAAGTATAATAAAGTTTCTAAATATATTAATATTATAGTTTACTAGGAGTTTAAATAATACTATATTAGAATTTATATAGTCTAAGGCAAAATTATTGCGCTAGCTAAGAGCATCTAGCTAACCGCAAAGGACTAGAAATAGAATATAAGGACAGAGTTTAAGAAGCTTAAAAAAGGATATAGCAGTACTACTCTTAATAAATAGCTTAGCTAATAGCCTACTCTTATTAATAATGCAAAGCGGTATAAAATTAAAAACCTAAGTAAGTTCTAAATATATAACGCCTTTATTAAAGCTTTATAGAACCTTAATCCTCTATTCTATAATTATATAAAGTTAAAAAAAGCTTATATTAAAGGGGAAACAACCCTTATTAAAGAAATAGCAAAAATAATAGAGAATATTTCTAATATACTTTTTACTGCGCTTAACTAGATAAATCTAAATTACGTAAGCACCGGTTTTATAACTATTAATAACAACTCTAACTCTAATAAAATAGAGGATAACGCCGATATTACAATTATATAGAAAGCTTAGAATACTATTAATAAGATTTTTAGGTCCTTCTATAGGCTAAATCTAGCACTTTCTAATAAAAAAAATTATAATAGGCTTCTATATTAAGCAGTTTAGGACTATAGCACCGCTAAGCAAAAAAACTATAAAAGGGCGAGCTATACACGCCACCTTTTAAGGCAAAAAGCATAGTTATAATTTAGATTTATTAGATAATAATAGTTTATAGCTAAAATAAAAAAAATAGAGGGCCGACTTAACTCTAATAATAATAAACTTACTAATAAACCTATAAAACTATATATACGGACTTGCTTATAAGTATATAGACTATTAATATCTTAATCTATTAAGTGCACTAACGTACTCTATAAGCAAGCGGCCTACCTAAGTAAGTAGCCCACCTTATTACCGGAACGCGCTCCGTTAACTTTTAACTACTATACCTTAACAACGCAATACGCAATTAATTTAAAAAGAAGGCCAGATATATATAGCTATTTTAGCAATCGATAAAAAGCAGTTTAAGAGCGTGCGACGCGCTGTTGCAATATATAATATCCCCCGAACAACCCTATAATAACGACGCGACGGAACAACCGCCCAACGCGATTGCGAGCCCTATTTAAAGAAGCTTACAAAGCTGGAGGAGTTAGTTGTTATTTAATATATAATTAACCAAGATTTAAAAGGGTTTACACTACGGCTAAGCGCTGTATAAGATATAGCTAATAAGCTGCTAAATAAGCGCGGTGCTAGCTAGGTTAGTAAAAACTAGCTATATAACTTTATTAAGCGGACTAATAAGCTTTAAACATAGTTTAATTAAAAGTATAATTACTAAAGAGCCCTATATAAAGATCTTATCACGATAGCGCTACACGCGAGAGGTCGAGGGCTTAAAGAGGAGCGTTGATTAGGTGCTATATACAATGCTACGTGGAGAATTAAGACGTTGTGTAAGGGACAGGAAGACGGGAGACGGGCCACCGGATATAAGGGCGTGGCCGAGCGCGTGGCGTACGGCCTCTATGCCGTTTCGGCGCGTGGCACGCGTGTACGAGAGGTCCTTACCAGATCAGGTGATAGGAAAAGGGGGCAGCCGGTAGGTGGCTGGAGCGGGACAGGATAGGAAGCGGAAGCGAGACGGGAGCGGAGCAGGGCAGGCAGGGCAGGAGGCCGGCCAGCGGTAGTAGGCCGGTGCAGATTGCTAGAGTTATAGCAATCTGCGGCAGAATTTCGGTAGGTAGAGTATCACGGTCAATACTGTAACAGTACCCCCCTTCTAAACCTAAGTCTCTTAGCGAGTAGAAGGCGCTGTTTATAATATATACAGCTATTTATCGGGAGTAGAGCCGTGAATTAAATCTTAATTAAGGTTTTAGGGTCTAGTAGAACAGGGCTTATTAAACGCAGGATTATAAGCTTTAGAGTGGCGGTAATAATAATTAGCCGCAGCAGTAGTATCCTTTAGGTTGTTAATAGGTTGCCAGGATAGGTTATTATATCCAGTCTATTAGACTAAGTACTTATATTGCTTTTAGCGCCGGTTTAGGCGTATACCTTTAATATAGTTAATATACTATTTAGTCTTTTTTTTAACTTAAATAGGTTTAGGTAAAAGCAACTCCTAGCCAGGCAGGTAGTTAGCTTACGGAGCGGCAGGACAGAGTAATAAAATATAGAAGACAGGATATATCTTTATAGATTTAGGTAGGCCTAGTTAATAGGCGTACGGAAAGATAATCTATATAATTGGGAACTTCCCTAAGTTCTTCTAATTAAGCTTCTTAGCGGGTTAATTTATATAGATATTCCGTGCATTTAACTAGACTTTATTACCTACTTTATAGGCCGGTGCGCCTATATATTTTTAGTTAGCGTATTTTTCTTATATTGCTTAGGCCTAAGTTATCTCTTTGCGGATAAACTACTTAATATCTAATATCTTATTAACTATCTAATTAGTCTTAAGTGCTTGCAGTACTTAATAGGCAGGGCGCGGAGTTCCTAATAGCAGTTTAAAGCCTATTTTTAGGTGTTATCCTAAAATAGCAATAAATAGTATTACTATTATTAATTTAGATTAGGTATTATTTACCTTAAACTAAGCAGATAGCAGCTAGGTAACCTAGTTATCTTGCTTATAGTTTATATAGGCGCGGAGGACTTATTCTAGTATTAAATTAGCCTTCTCTATTTAGCTATTAGTTTCCGGGTAAAAGGCCGATAATAATTAGGCTTTAATATGTAGTTGCTTATAGAGTTTATTCTAAAATACGGAGATAAACTGTAATCCTTAATTAGATATATATATATTAGGCAATCCGTAATATACCTAAATATATTAGTAGAATAGGTTGGCTGTAGCTTTAGCCGTGATTATTCTACAGGGAATTATATATTAGTACTTACTTAGGCGGTCTACTATAACTATAATATTAGTACAGCCTTTAGATTTAGGTAGTTTAATAATAAAGTTAATAGAAATATCTTACTAGCAATACTGCAGGACGGGCAGGGGTTTTAGGAAGCTATTATACTTCTTTTTTAAAGCCTTTATACGGCAACAGGTGTAATAGTATACTATAAATCGGCGGATTATTTTAAATATATGCGGCCAGTAGTATTTTCTTTAGAGGATTTCTAGAGTCTTTCTATATCTAGAGTAGCCGCTAACGGGGGAATTATACATGTAATAAAGCAGTTTAATCTTTAGTTTATTATTATTAGGAATTGCTATTTAGTTGCGGAAGTAGAGCTTACTATTTCGCTCTTTATATTTACTTAGGGTAATCTTCTTAAAGCGGCGTACTCTAGAGCGTAATATCTCTAGAACTTCCTAGATAAACTTATTATTTAGGTATTTATCCTTAATAATCTCCTAAATTATTCGGTTAGTTTCTGTTAGATTTAACTATATAAACAGGTCGGGATAGAGCAGTATTTAATTTTAGGCTGCTCGAGCTTTTTCTTGCGCAGGCGCATCTTGCGTACAACGCGTTAAGGCGTTAGGCTTCTTACTATACTTGCTAGGTCGGTAGGTAATTAAGAAGTTAAATCGGGACAGGTATTTAGACTAATAAGCCTGTCGGTGGCTTAACTACTTTATAGTTGTAAAGTACTGCAAGTTTTTATAGTTGCTAAAAACCTAAATTAGGAATACTACGCCTTCTAGTTTAGGCCGCCACTATTTAAAGCATTAGATAATTGCTAGGAGTTCCTTATTATAGATTTTATAGTTATATTTAGTAGGACTTAATTATTTTAAGAAGTAGGCTATAGGTTAGAGTATTCCTTATTTATCTATTTATAAGAGCACTCCAGCGTTTATATAGTCGGATAAA